TTTGAATGGATGATCCATCCTCGATCGGTTCGCACGTGCTGCCATGCGAGTCTGGGACGCGGCTATGTGCTCATGTGCGGTCTTCATGATCGACGTCATGTGTGCCACCCAATTGTCCTGCGCGGGACAACTCGTGTCGGGGTGCAACTGGGATGGTCGAAGGAAGTCCGCGGGAACACGAGGGTGATAGCCGAGGTCGCAATAGTAAGGCGACATCCCTGTAGCTGGCGAGACGGCGTGGTTGTAGGCTATCTCCGCGTGGGCAAGACGGAGATCCCACTGCTGGTCGTCACGAACAATCTTTCGGAGAATATCTCCGAGAGTCCTGTTCGTGATCTCGGTCTGACCATCAGTTTGAGGATGGTAAGACGAGGAGAAGCGGAGCTAAGTGTCGTACACCTCGTGGAGCCGTCGCCAGAATCGGCTGGTAAAGCGCGGGTCACGGTCAGATATGATGCTCAGAGGTAAGCCGTGGTCACGCATGACTCGGTCAAACACGATGTCGGCGACCTCACGTGCACTGATGGCATAGCGGCATGGAACAAAGCGTGCACGCTTCATGAAGCGGTCGACGACGACCAGGATAGCATCATGACCGCGAGGGGTCGGAGGACGAAGATGACCGATAAAGTCCATCGAGATGGACTGCCAACGACCATCAGGGATAGGAAGAGGCTGGAGCAAGCCATAAGGAAGTTGGTTCGCACTGTTCACCTGCTGACAAGTGGGACACTCTGCGACGTAGTCCTTCACAAAGTCCTTGCGCTTCGGCCAGACGTACAGGCGGCTCACACGAGCCAACGTCTTGTGGAAGCCCATATGACCGGCAGCTGCCTGGTCATGGAACTCAGCTACTGCTCGGACACGTAGCTGTCCAGTGGAGGGAACGCAAATACGGGGCTCTCTGGTGCCCTGTGAACCGTGCCAGTACACAAGACCGTTGTCCCCGAAAGAGTAGTTCGGGACGGTCTTGCCACTCCGAAGGGTCGTGTGGATGTCGCGATAGTCGGGGCAGTAGCGGTACTGAGTGCGAAACTCATCGGTCACCGAGTGGTGGACGGTGTTGACCGAGATGGAAGAGAGTTGGATGTGCTCGTGGTCGTGGTCAGGGCACCGAGAGAGGGCATCTGCGACCCGATTAGTCTCACCCTTGATGTGCTCAGTGGTGAGACTAAACTCGGATAGGTCGCGCCACCAGCGAGCCTGTCGAGGAGTGAGCTTCGGCTTTGTCAGAAAAGCCTGGACAACAGAGTTGTCCATGCGCATCGTGAATGGTGCCCCGTGCAGGTAGTGACGCCAGTGTCGAGCGGCATAAACTACTGCGAGAACCTCACGTTCATCAACAGTGTAGTTTATCTCGGCAGGCAGGAGCTGACGAGAGTAGAATGCTATCGGACAATCACCTGAGCGAGTCTCAACAGTGCTGTCCTCGGCGACGGTAGGAGATTAGTCAATAAAAGGCTCGTCAGTGGCTGGACGAGTAGGCGTCAGTCGGGAAGCAGTGGTAGGGGTAGGTGGTGGGAAGCGAGGGATACGAGGATGAGAGGAATCAGGAGAGGAGGGGAAGACCTGAGAAAGCACTGCTCCTACAGCAAAGTCTGACGCATCGGTGGTAAGGATAAAAGGCTGATCAAAATCGAGTAGGTAAAAAACCGGTGCACATGTCACCGCCTTCTTGAGGGCGCGGAAGGCGAAGAACCCAGAGGAAGGTGGAGGTAAGGACGTAGGAATACCTAGCGTATCCCCGGATGAAGTTACTATAGTAGTTGGTCAGGCCTAGGAAGCTGCGAAGCTGCTTGGCGGATGTGGGGGCGGGCCACTCCGCAATAGCAGTGATCTTCGCGTCGTCCATGTGGAGACCCTGGTCAGGCATGTAGTGTCCTAAGAAATCCACTTTGTGCTGGGCAAAGCGGCACTTGCTCAGCTTGGCGTAGAAGCCATGTCTGCGCAAGCGGTCAAGGACGTCGTGGAGGTGTCTGAGGTGCTCCTCAAGGGTATGACTGTAGACCAGGATATCGTCGAGGTAGACGAGAACGTACTGCTCCAGGATGTCCCTGAAGATGTCGTTCATCGCCCTCTGGAAGGTGGCGGGTGCATTGGTGAGGCCGAATGGCATCACCGTAAACTCGGAGTGGCCGAAGCGCGATCGGAACGCTGTCTTCGGCTGGTCGGCTGCAGCGACGCGGATCTGATGGTAACCGCTACGAAGATCAATCTTCGTAAAGAAGCGGTTGCCTGCTAGGCGGTCGAACAGCTCATCGGAACGAGGCATGAGGTAGCTGTTCTTAACCGTGTAGCGGTTGAGACTGCGATAGTCGATGCAGAGACGGAGAGTTCCATCCGCTTTGCGAGCAAAGAGGACGGGTGCACCCCACGGGGAGTTGCAGGGTTTAATGAAACCCAGTCTCAGGAGCTCCTCAAGCTGATGCTTGAGTTCGGTGGCCTCGGGAATCGAGAGTCTGTAGGGTGCCTGGTGGTGAACACGATAGTCAGGCACAAGCTGAATGGAGTGCTCGACGTCACGCATCGGTGGGAAGCCGGCGTACGAGAACGATGACGGGAAAACGTCGTGGTACTCTCGGATGAGGTCACGAACTGCGGGCTCTAGGTCAGCCGTATATCGTGCGAGTTCCTCAGCGTCAGCGTCGGCACCCGACGGCGGGGTTAACTCGACGGACGGCGGAGGGACGGAAGTAGAGATGGGAGCCATGGAGATAGAGGGAGGATCTGGCTCCAGAGGGATGAGCTCGGCGTCGGGACAGGGTGGATCATAGTGTAAGAGATCCGTCACGTCCACCATAAAGAAGGTGACGTCGTCCTGTCGAATGAAGTGAGCGAACTACCGAGGCGAGGTGACAGTGATAGAGGGGGGTGGTGTGGGCACTGAAGGCTTCGGGGGAGGAGGATCGGGGCGTGGTATCGCCGTGGTACCTATGAAAGGTACGCGATACGTCTGTCCACACTTCGTTTTGAGAAGAGAGTGTTGGTCGCCCAATCGGCCTCGGTGCTGCGGAACCGCCGAGACCACGGAGTGCCGAGAATGAAGTCGTACCCCGTCTCCATCACATCGAAATGTGCAGAGGAGCGGT